AGTAAATCAGTGTAATGAGATGTATTCACCCTATTTCGTGTAAGGTGATGAAGGACTGGTAGAAGAACAACTTTTGGGAAAGCAAGGCTATGTGAAATTCAATGGAAACGTCAGTTCAACTCATATCATTGTGGAAAAATTCTACTACCAGTCCTTCATCACCTTACACGAATTAGGGTGAATACATCTCATTAGGTCTTATTATTGCCTTCCAAACGGCTTTCTCATCCAGCTTTGACGGCAGATTCAGCCTCGTCTTGACTTCATCAGCACTCATGATGGGGCTCGAAACTGGGAGGAAACGCCGCCGCCTGTAGATGTTGTTGAGCTCGTGACTGGGAATGGTAGAAGTCTTTTGGAGAGCAGGAAGAAGTCAACTTCAACGGCATCCCGTGGCCTATTCATTTCCTGTTGGGAAATTTAATTATTATCATTTTATTATTCAAGATGTGTGTATAGGGAAGGAAATAGAGTCAACACATAAATCGAGTTGGCTAGTCTTCTGATTGCAGCATCCCAACGAAAATAGGCGGTTACCCAAGACAGGCCGTGGGTCAAGAATGAAGTGGATAAACACAGTTGCCTCCAAAAGAAGGCGTTCTCATGTGCTATCTCGTTGCAGACATTAACAACTACGTCTCATGTGCATTATGCTATTTGCATATCAAGGCCAATGTACACAGAAAGGTGACGAAGCTGAGGTGGTTCATAGATGGCAACTAGACGGTCACTAATTTGGTGCTGTCGCCCAGGCTCCGAGTGATTAAATGCCGCCCAGCCAATGCATACTTGTCTAATGCATTGACTTTGTCGGTTAGAGTGTGGATGAAATGATTGCTGATGCTCGATTTAGTGCTTTCATTTTGGCCGGCTGGCTGGCCTGAGCACAAAATGTTTACCATGATAGGGCACGACTCTTACATTCTGTACCCGGCCCTGGAGAGTGGAACAGCCCAAATCACTGGTGGGAGTCGAAACGACCTAATCAGAGGAAGGGGAGGGAGCCGGGCACGAGGGTGGCAGGAGAGAGCTGTGTACATGTTGACGTCGGCAGGTCGGAGGTGAGACTCCTGAGTTGGGAGCTGTCTACGGAAGAGCAGGGAAGGGGGAAAATGCAGTTGAGAAGCAAATTTTCTAGACGTCGAGGATGGTCTCAATAGGTTGAACATATACCTCTTTATACGAGTTAACTTCACATGTGGTAAGAATACAGTGCTATGCATTAGACGTAGTTAACAAACAAAAATAGGTAAAAGTAAATCTTAACTAAATTAGGTTGATATGGCCATCTGTTCGCCAGGATAATCATGACAGGCCACTACAACTATTGAGAGAAATTACTGGTAAAATGTCGAAAATCAAACTCATATATACGTAACTATAATTAAGTCGTCGTTATAGTCTCTTAAGTAGTCCGAGATCGAATGCGACCCCCAAATTGTAGGAACGAAGGACATATAGGATGGTTGTCATGCCATGCCATTAGACGTTTGTATCGTAATGGATTTGTCATTTGACCCAATCTCCTGTTCATTAGGTTTGTATCCCCAAGCATGTCAATGGCCTCCCTAATCTTTCACTTCCTTGTCTTGCCACCGTATGCAACTTTCCATTCTGTTGCTTTC